TTAATAAGGCATTTTATTGGAGCAAATGCACATACCCATAAACAACACAGATCATTTATAGAAGGGAAAAATATCAACGAATAGCGTAGTGACAGAACATCTCCACCAATATCGGTAAAATATGACGCAGTTCAAATTTAAAAGAATAAAACGGAAAACAACAATTGATTAACCGGTAGAAAATTTTTATAACATTACGATAATCGGATGTAGGCTCGAGAAAAATCAGGCTAACAACCTTCAATCGGAAAAGGAAGAATAAGCAAACCAGAGAGGTTTAATAATAATAATAATAATAATAATAATAATAATAATAATAATAATAATAATAATTAATCAGAAAAATCGCATAATCAGACGAAAATTCATGTAAGAACGGACAATTAGACAGTGGTTTTAGCTAGAATTTTTTTAAAAAGAACTAACCTCCTGTAATCGATGATCGGACGATTTCAGATGAATGATAAATTGAGAAAAGCTTATATATAGAACAGATGGAGATATAGAAAGAGATTACTTGGACGAAACGGTGAAAGTAATTAATAGAGGTTGACTCATGAATCCGCAATGCCTCTGGCTGGCTCTGGTTAGTGGATTATTGCAGGAGATAAATGAGTAAATATATACAAAGTGGAGGATGGGTGTATAATAATTTCAAAGTTGCAAAGTTAGGGCAAATTTTGGTGGATGGGGACCATAGTGGAAATTGGGAAAAATATTGACATCACAATTTTAAATTACATTTAAAGCTCTTAATTTTTATTCATTATAATGCTTTGACAGGGATAAAAATTAACTTTTTTAGTAGATTATGATAGAAAGTTTTGAAATGTGTCCATAGAAAATGTGATTAATATTGATTATTTGACATTAATTTAAATTAAAATCAGATTTTACTTCAAACCAAATAGGCTCTTAAACTCTTAAATTTTTTTTGCCTACTATCTCGTTTATGATAACGATTTTTGAATGATGTAAAATGATTTAGTTGCTCATCATATTTTTAGAGAACAACAAATACGAAGGTGTTCCATCTTTCCAAAGCACACAACTAAATATTTTGACACAAACAATCATCAACGACGAAAGGTGTTAATTAATGGAAGGTTGAAGAAAAAAACTCAATAAAACGGTATTAAAGTAAGCAAACGTTGATGACTTTGTGTATAATGAAAATATCATGCCCTTGTTTGAGTCACATTATTGGAAAGAAAATGTATTTTTGAATAGTATATTGATAGAAAATGTGTGATTAAAAAATAAGAAAATATTTTGAATTTGCGTGTAATATAATTTTATTAAAGATTGTGTAGTTGAAAATATGACAAATTACTGTTAAAAAATGTATTTTTTTTTATTTCAAATAATGTGGCTCAAACAAGGCCTATATAACAAATAAAAATATTGTATAAATATAGTCAACCAACTTTAAGAATAAATTGGGCCTATTTGTCAATTAGTTGGCTGCGCTAATTTTCACCATTTCAATTTTATTCGGGGTAAAATTTAAGAGTAATGTTATTCATAATCGTCGTCTTACGTGGCATCCTATATAAAGGTTGGCGATTTGATGTATTAAAATAGTAATTTTTTTACCTCATATATCAAGTCACTAATCGTTACATGTATGTCGTGTAAAATAACCGCGATAGTAAAATACTGTAAATAACATTATTCAAAATTTAAGCCAGATGGCACATAGAATTTGAGATATCTTAAGAACTAGGGACGGAATGAGAGGATTATAATTTTTATTTTTTATTTTTATACTGGACTAGTATGTTGAAGAAAAAACAAAAATCGTTGAAACATTCTTTTTAATAAGAAAAGATGGTTTGGACTTGGGCTGCCCTGGGCTCTTAATCCACATCAATTCAGCTTCTGGATTGAAGTTGGAAGCCTTCTCATATGCAGATTGGCAAGTTGTGTTGATAAGAGGATGTCTACCGTAGGCTATTGTGTCTTTCTTGGTGGTAATCTTATATATTTTGTGGTACTCCAGAAAGCAAAAAGTGATTATTTCAGTATTGAGTCAAAATATTAGGCTCTAACACACGCAACTACTGGCAACAAACCATGGATTCCATCAAATAATAAATCATATAGAGGTTGGTATTCATTTTGTACGAGAAAGGGTGATAGCTAAAGAACTAGACGTCCATAATATAATTATCGAACACCAAATTGCCAACTTTTCATTCTATTTAGAGAAAAACTTACCGTTTCTTCCCTGTATTATTTCATTATTCGACAAAATCATATATTCTCTCTTTTTGTTGTCTTCTCATGACTCTATCTTGAAACCCTAGCTCTCATATTTGTGTAATCTCTTAGTAAATTTGAATGTGATATTATATGAAATTGTAGAATGAATATGTATACTACATAAATTTACATGACAGTATTTTTAGGATTATTCTCCTTGTACATTGGGGGTGCCATAAGATTATGGACACCCGGCACCCCCCTATTGGAGGGGCGTCAGTGGGGCCAGACGCCTCTCCAATAGGAGGGTGTTTTGGACACCCTTTTAGCACTCCCAATGTACCCATAGCACTACCCTAATTTTTACTATGTAAAAATTTAATTGTATCATCAAGGAATATAGAATTTTCATTTTCTTTCGTGTGTGTATGTGTGTGTGTATATATATATATATATATATATCGGGGAAACAATTGCCTCGCCCCACCCCGAAACTGCCTCATTGCCATTTTGCATAGCTTCGCATGCTTATAAGAAAAACCTTAATTATGTTTTAGTTTTTAGGAATCCAATTAAACAATTTCTTGCTGCATTGCATGAGGTAGGTGTCAAATATATTGCTTTTAAGGGAATCCCCCCCTTTTTTTTGAAATTAAATAAGTAGCTTTCAATTAAATCATCACAAACACACAATGAAATGAAGACGTTATATATTTAACCTAATATGAGCATATTGGGGATGAAAAAGCATAAAGGGCACGACAGAGGGGCATGGAATTCCTTTTTAGGAATATAGTGACACGAACCATAATGTATCTTCTTGAGTACTGTTATTATATAATATTTCCAAAATACCACTTGTTACATTCGTTGTTCTAATATGAGAATAACTCGTTAAAAGGTATAACGTGCTCGTGTAGAGTTCCATTCACATTAAAAAAAATTTTCAATATCTATTGATAATAAAATGAATATAACCTACTCGCGATGGACATATTAAAGACAGATTTTAAATTTATAAAATTTGTTTTCCTTTTAACAATTTAACTTTTCTTCATGATGAAGAACTCAAAAGTCGAAGGAGAGAGAATATAGGATATTGCTAGTGAGAGAACTATTTGTGTTGCTTTATTTTTTAATTTTTTCACTTTCAATTAAAATCCACTAATTGATGAGATTAGCCCTGCCAATTTATTTTTACCAAAAAACAACACTACGAATTTGTGTCGGAGTATAATACATTACCTCCCATAAATATGAACATTCAAACTTCAGAAAATTAATGAATTTTTTTCTTGCGTGAGCAAAATAAGTAGAAGAGCTTTGTATTCCGAAGAATGTGTGATTCTTGTTAAGTCAAGAATTTTTAATATTTGACTTTCTTGTGACCATTAATTTCAAGTAACATATCTCAATAAAATAAATGTAAATATGTTCTACTTAGACGCAAAAGTTAGCCTAGTTTCATAATAAAAAGAATATGTGATAATAGATTTTTTTCTTTTTTTTGTATACATGTCAAATGACACTATTTGTACAGGTTGTAGGCCTCATTTATGATAGTTAAAATTCTTAGTTTATTTTGAAACCTCTTATTTTTTATTTTATTTTATTTTTTAATCAAAATTAGTTCTGAAAAATATAGGTGTCTTCGTCATGTATTCCAATTGGCTCCAAAAGTATGAGTCTAAGTATGGACAATTGCATGCATCGATCACTCCAATAATGACCACAATACGAGTTATAGAATCTTTGTCATTTTGGAGTTAGAGAATGATAACTAACGGATCAAATGTATCTGATAATTTTAGATACCTGTATACCTTGTAAATTGCACTCTGTGTAATGGAGTGAGATAGAGAAATAGTAATAAAATGTAGAACAATCCCTGCAGGGCAATGTTCTACAGGGGGCTTACAAGCCCCCTCACTGTAGCTACAGGTTGGTCCCACCGACCTGCTTTAAAAAAAAATTGCGTGGACCCCGTCCTTGTGTCTGTCCTGGCTGAATCTTGTGAGTACCGCCTTGTACGTGAAGCTTCGTCCTAAAGTGTAATGGAGTAAGATAGAGAAATAGTAATAAAGTTTGATGATTTAATTGACATTTTTTAAAGTTGAGTGACGCGAAATGAAAGTAAAGAATAGAGTTCATTGAATTCTTCTCCCGAAGTGCCTCTTTTAAAATCTTCTTGTAAATGGTGGATTTCGTAATCACCTTCATAATAAAACTTATTTGTCAGCTTGTCCTTACATGGAAAAATTATATTCCTCTATTGGGTAAGGAACTATGTATTGCCGGGATTTTTAATTAAAGATGGGTTTGCATGTGTAGATAATTGTGTGTTAAATTATAGGCTATCGAATTCAGTTTAGCCCAATTAAAGTGATCTAATAAGGCTTCGATTTTGGGCTTTAATGTATCTAGTTAAAATATGGGTTTACATATGTGTAGAGACAGGGCCCAAGTCCTAATTCTATGATGGGCCGAATTAGTTCAAAGGGCATCCCTATATAAATAAGTTATGGTCCTCAGATCACACGCAATGCAATATATTATTTATTCTCTACTGCATCCCATCACAGAGAGGAAAAGGAGACTGCGTGTAGATTTGGAAGATCATACCGCGAAATTCATATTGCATTAACCATGTCTGATTCAGGTATGCTTCCGCTTTTATTCTTATATTTCTCGATGATTTAACATGAAAGATCCAGTAATTTAAAGCATTAAATTCTCCAACAAGTGGTATCAGAGCCTCTTCATGTTAAACCATTAAGAATCAAAGGTTTTAGTTTGGTTCTTGCAATATATTTTGAAATTTTTAGATTTAACAATTTTTGGTTATATATTTTGTTAAATTTGAAAATTTTTGCGGTATAATTCTTGTTATTTTCATTCAGATTAATTAGTTTAGAAAATTCAGATTTGGAATTCGGAATTTTTGAGATTCAGATTTAAAAAAAAAAAAAAAAATTGAATTGGCCGGCGGCGGGTCTGCCGCCGGCGTCTGCAGATCCCTAACCTTTAAGTTGTATTGAGATTTGGGCCTTTAAGTTTCAGATTTAATAATTCAGTCCCTAAGGTTTTAAAATTAATTAATTCGGGCCATTAAAGTTCTGAAATTATAATTAAAGCCCTCAAAATTTAATTATTAATTCAAATTGGCCCCCTAAGTTCATAATTAATTCAAATTGACCTCTAAAGTTTCAAATTTTTAAAATTTGATCCCTAAAGTTTTGAATTGGTCAATTTTGGCCCCTAAAGTTTTAAAATTTGTTCTAATTGATCCTCTAAAGTATTGAATTAATTAATTTTGATCCCTAAAGTTTCAAGTTTATTAATTTCAACCCCTAAAGTTTGAAATTAATTAATTTTGCCCCCTTAAAGTTTTGAATTATTAATCCTAAGG